GTTGGCTGATGTGGAAAATGTGGATAACATTAAGCAACTCTTGACGAATATCTATATTCTTGTATCTGTGGATAAATTGCTGTCCAGTCAGTATGTGTCTCAACCTGTGTATGTGCGTGTGTTTTTAGGTTTTGGCTTCCTCACCCGTCAGCTCATGTCGTTGGCTGGGGGTCGGGTGGTACTAGCTCTGGAGGGAGGACATGACCTCAAAGCCATCTGTGATGCCTCTGAAGCCTGCGTCAGCGCCTTGTTGGGCATGGAGGTGTGTGTGTTTGGGTTGTACATATATTTGTGTGTGCCTCCACACATATATATACACAATGGGTTGAATCCTCTAACAACCTGTGTCCTAGGTGGAGCCACTGTCCCAGTCAGTGTTGGACCAGAAGCCTTGTGAAAACGCCATCCAATCACTGCAGAGAATCATCCAGGTTCAGGGTAAGAACCTACTCCTCAACACAACACAAACCTGAAGCATCAATTACAGGGTTTGAATGTGAAAAGTATAAACTAAAACATACTGATGCAACATTTTGTGTTGTATTGAGTCTTGAGAAGTTTTTCTTCACTTAACATTTAACTAACACAATTTCTCCTTTGCTCTCAACCCACCTTTGTGTCTCAGTTGTCTTTAATTTCTCAGGAAAACTGGAAAAGGACACGTGTCAGTAAAGTTGAGATGTAAATACATTTCAATCAGCTGGTTTGAAGTTAAATATCTGAATGAAAAGATTTTGAATACAAATCAACAGTAAAATATAATTTGCGGGAAATGATTTGTTTCAGCCAATTTGTTATTTGGCCTTAGTTTCTGGCAGAAGATTTTACTTGAAGATGTGATCAAAGAAATGCACCTCCAGCTAATAATCATACCACCATGTTCAACAGCTTGTACATGGGAGGACTTCAAGTCGTCAATTTTTATAGATATGGCTCAAAATCACATTGTGCTTCTGTACAACAAAGCATATCCTCTATTCTTAGACAAAACAAGGAAAAACCTGGGCATAAGGAAGAGCAGAGACAATTTATTTTCTATTTTGCTTCTCCTAATATTTTTTTAAAGTTTGATTAAAACAAAAAGGAGTTTAATCAGATAAAATGCTCGTAATAAATTTGTCTCTCTTCACGTCAACTGACCCACCTTCACAACTTGAGTCTCTTTATTTCTCCACTCACGCTCTCTCCTCTGTCTCCTCATTAGTGCTCTCCGGCCACATCTCTCCTCCTTTACATCCCTGTCTCCCATCCCTCCCTCCAGCCGTCCCACTGACAGACCACCACGCACACACACACACACACTCACACAGACACACACGGCCCGCCCTGGCTCCAATTATCTTCAAACACTTCTCTGGCACACGACCTTCGCAACATCCCCTCCTGATTGCACACAAATGTTATCCCAACCAAATTAGATTAATTAAAAATATTTGCAAAGCCACAAGAATGTTAAGCCCATAATTTAGTCCTCGGGTGAAATATATTTGAGTTGCATGCACAGCCAGAACACACACATGCTCATAGACGAACACATTTGCAAACACTGATAAATTTTTTTACTTCCACTGTGTGTCACAGGGCTCTGTCCGGGAGAGCCACGGAGAAGAAAGTGAACTTGAGTTTATATATTTGAAATGATCAACATGGATATTTGGACCAGGGGCTGTTTATATCACAGTCAATACTTATATTCACATCAAACAGCCACAACTGGGGGATCAAACACCAAGTAGGGCTTATTATTAATGCAGCGCAGACACTTTCCCTAAAGGAACCATTCAAGATGAAAACAACATTGAAATACCAGCGACTGAAGCCATTAATCTTCCTCTCTCCCATTTCCTTCCTCCTCTCCCTCTCTCCCATCCCTCTGCTTCCTGCAGGTGAGTACTGGCACAGTGTGAAGGACTCGGCCATGACAGTGGGTCTGTCCTACCTGCAGGCCCAGAGACGACGGCTGAGGCGAGACTCGGACAGCGAGGCTGTCAACGCCATTGCCTCGCTGTCGATGGGAGCCCTCATGTCGAACAGGTAAAGACCATGTCACATTTATTATCTTCTGCTTTAGGAAATGTACAATACTCTCAGTAATTTGCTGTAAAGATTAATTAAATATTATTCTTGTTTTTTAAGGAATCAGTCAGAAAAACTGACATAGAAATGGGATTCTCTCTGAAGAAAGAGTCTCTTGACGGCTGCCTTCAACCAAGTCTGAATGGACACACACATACACACACACACACACACACATACACACATACACACACACACACACACACAAAGTTATGCATTTGGACCATCATTGGAACCAGATGTCCTCCTCAGTTCAACCACGATATTCTTCGCCTCACAAAAACTCCACCTGCACAACTTCTGGCTCCAGTCTGACAACTTTGGATCAAACACACACCGAGCAACAACCGACCTGGACACCTGGACAACGTTCATATTCTCATAAGGCCTCCGCAGGCTCGTCCTGAGGCAGACGTCACACACTGAACTAAGAGAAAACTGAAAATGAAGACACCCAGAGACAGATTAATGAAGGAAGTTCAGTCTTTTGGAGCCAGCAGCACGAACACACCACTCTGTGACTTAAAACATTCACCTCATTAACCATTCCCTAAAGACCTGCAAGTGACCACTCAAAACTCTTGTAACCTTGAAGCTGGGGTCAAAGGTCACCTCTGCTTACCGAATCACCTTAAGTGGAAAGAGTGGTCCCTGCAGGAAGTGCCTGTGAAGGAGAGTAGTCTCTCTGCACTTAGAATGCGTCCCGCTATGATGATGTCACTTGTCTGCATCTGACAAAGATCCAATGAAGGAAAAGATCTTCTCTGATCGTTTTGCACTGTACCGTTGTGTAATGTGAACTCGACAAGATGGAAGAGACGGATGATGGCAATCAAGTGTCTCCCATGCTCATATTTTGAATATTCATTCATTTGACCTATGACACACATTTCTGTGATTGTCAGCATGAGATTTTTTTTTTCAGTAATCCAGAGTGAAGCTACAGTCTGAGACACATATGTTTCATATTGTTTTGTATGTCCACATATTTTCTTAAATCTTTTTTTTTCTCTTTCTTTTTCTCTCTTAGTCCGTCAGGCGAGCATATGCAGCGAGACTCCAGGTGGCTGCAGTCTTTGTTATTATCACTCGCGGACACATAGAAGAAGACACGTCAGAGGTGCATCTTAAATGTATAGACATACTGTAGTTTGTATCGGTGGCATTAGTCACAATGAAGAGCTAATGCCTCTCAGGAGTATCAGTAATTTATCGCTCTAAAAGATGCAGTCGCACGACAGCAGAGACAGAAACGATGTGTGGGTGCAGCGTGGCCACGTAGAAATGATTGTGACGATGCAGATCACATCGGATCACATGTTGGATGAGATACACATTCAAAGCTACATGGACTTCACAACAATTTCACACACACAAAGTGCACTTATGTTACCCTCAGGATGGGAGGGTCTTAACCTCTGAACTTTGATGACGCGTGTTACGTTACATCTGTTACATTTCGTGTGTTAAGTTGCGTGTGTTACGCTATGTGTGTTACATTACGTTTCGAGTGTTACGTTGCGTGTTCTACGTTGCGTGTTCTATGTTGCATGTGTTACGTTATGTTTCATGTGTTACGTTACGTTGCGTGTGTTACGTTACGTGTGTTACGTTACGTGTGTTACGTTGCATGTGTTATGTTACGTGTGTTACGTTATGTGTGTCACGTGGACCAGTGTTTCTACCTGTGGATGAGCATTCCTACTGTATTTTGTAGATTTCATTTTATTTCTTTTTTTTTTTTATTGAGCTGACCTTTGTTTTTTAGCAGCGTCGCTCTGTTTGTTGTCAACGTCAAGGTTGTTTCTCTCCCCGGACCAAGCAAGGACATTGTAGCAGTTAGGACGGAGCAGTAATACTGAGATAGCTGAATATCCACACTGTGCAATTGGACACAGGTTAAGCGCAACCAAAGTTTATGAGAACAATGTGCCGTCCCTGGACTGGCACAGCTTAAAGAACTTCAAAGTCTTTGAAGAGTTTGTGAATGTTTCTTTTTCTATCCAAACAGTTGAACAGCACCGAAAGCACAGGACGGACGTATAAACAAATGTTCCCAAAAGCAAAAACCGACACGCCTTCTATTTATACATTCAGATTCTGCCTTTGAAGTGCTCTTTGCATGTCTAACACAATTGTGACGTGCTATAGGTTATTTTGCTAATACCGTATGTTTGCTCTTTCTCTTTTCTTTCTTTATGTTGCGTTGTGGACGCAACTCAGAACCTCTCAGATCTTTGTTCATCTGATGTGGAAAAGTGAAAACTTGTGACGGCAAGAGAAGACAAATGATCAGGTTCAGCTCTGCGTCGTGTAGGGACGTCCTACAGAGACGCTTTACAGCTTTATGAGAACATTCACGACAAGGACTTAATATATCTTATGTCCTCTCTTTTGTCTTAAATTACTTATTTTTGTATTTGATCTTAAAAATGAACCCCAGTCGCACTTGGAGACCAAATTATCAGCCTGTGTGCCTCGAAGAATCACAGTCTGTGAGGAGGTAGCTTCAGCAAACTGGATCTTAATTCAAACTGCAGGTCGAGTCCGGTTTTATCAGAACCGACTGTCTGATTAGTTTTCTGTACAGTGTATATAATGACTTTATTTTGTTTTCTATGTCTAACTTTTGTCTTTTCTACTATTTTTGTTTCCAAAAAAGTCCTTAATAAAGGTAAATTATATAGATTTGAATAAGAAGATTCATTTATTTCTATTTTCAGGTTCCTTGGAACTTTGGAAGTTGTAATCGCATGTTTCAACAGACTCACCACAGTGTCTTCTCATATCTTACATGTGTGTTAGAATTATTTCATTATCAAAATGATTGTCCACAGGAGACGACGCAATAGAGACGATCACGATAAAATGCAAAAGAAGCATGATCAAAGAATAGACAGACGACCAATGGTTATAGATGAATCCTTTATATTGTGGCTGTAATCACCTCATCACTTCGGCACATTTTACAAGAAATGCTCTGATTTCCTTTTTCTTTTTTTCTTTTTTACATCCTTTATTGAAAATAGTCACAGCGAGTTTGCAAAGAGATTTTAAAGCTGCAGCAAAAAGCAGACAAACACTTACTTTTCCCTTTTTAACAGAAACACTGAGGTTAACATAAACAGATGTGGAGGAGTGGCTGAACTGGGATCAGTGGTTTTCATGTGGACATTTTTCATTTAAGTATAATGCACAAGCAGAGTTGAAGTGATACAGTGTGCGTACACCAGAGTTCACAAACAGATACACTTAAAATCATTACAAAAAAAAAACACAGAAAGCTATCCAGTTACTACAGCACAACAGAGGAGAAGATCTGCGTCCGATTCCTCCTGCTCTTCCTTTTCCCACAAGGCTTTGGGGCTTTGAGAGCCAGAGCGTCTAGCTTATTAGCATTTTAGCTGTAAACATTCATTGGCTGTGACCGCCCTCTAACCATCACTGTGCCATCATCCTTAGTCATCCGAATGTCTTGTCTGGCAGTGAGTTGTCCGTTGTGGACGATGGTTATCACGGTGTTACCCAAAGGCACTCGAACCAGCAGCCATTTTGTTTCATTGTCACCGCAGGCCAGCTGTTTGTTTCTTTGTTTGTTTTCATCCGTCAAAATGTTCAGTGCTCGACTGTCGTGTCTCCTCGCCAGTGTTTCAAAAACACTGCTGCCATGGAAACGTCATCGTCAGCGTCATAAGTCGAGCATGTGTCCAGAGAAAGAAGAAGAAAAAAATGAAAGATAAAAAAGAGGGGGATGGCTGGTGAAGCGGGAACAAATGTTGAGAGAATTTTCCGTTTGTGGGTTTTCTGCAGAGACGAGAAACACATGATTAGACAGTGAGCTTGTAGATAACAGGACATGCATCAGTGTGTGTACAAACAAACACGTGTGTTCAGTGGAAAAAGTGGAAAAATCCCCAAAGCTCCTCAACTGCATCTCATCTTAGTCTCTTTCTTTTAACAAGCAAACATTTCATTGAGCCGCTCTCACTTCTCTCTAATTACAGTCTGCCTTTAAGGAAGAGAGAGAGAGAGAGAGGTCCAGCTAGGAAGGGTTGTGTCGGGTGTTGTGGGTGTCACATGACTTTCATTATGCCACCAAAGCATGAACGTGTTAATTGATGGGAACAGGCTTTAATGGGTGAAGTTGAAATCTGCTGAATTTATTTGCTTTTTCTTTTTAATAGAAAAAAATATTAACGAGACGCCACATGAGTGTACAGACCCCACTCCATCGAAACACGCAAATATAGTGCTCTGACAAAATCTGACCAGGCCGCACAACTGCATGATTTTCTTTATACATTTTTTTGGGCTGACATGAAATCTTTAATTTCTGTCGTGATCCATCTTGATTTTCTCTGAACTACTAACGTCTATGCTGATGCTTTCACCTCTGTGAACATTTCACAGTGTTACCTTTATATAGATACTAATATTATTTATATACACCCTGTATTTGCAGAGTTTTACTCTTTTCATGTCGGGCATGACATTTTCAAGAAAAGGGCAGATTTTAAGGGTTAAAGTCACATTCTGTAAGATTTTCATGAAATCAAACCTTGTGTTTTATATGTATTTACCTTCATAGATCTGTTTCATAGATTAGATTGGATTAGATTGCATTGATATTCTTAATTGTCCCCAAAGGGAAATTCATTTTGCATAGGTCAGTACAAAGACAATAAAATAAATAAGTTCACAAATTACACGCTGCAGTAATGATAGTTTTTATTGTTAGTAGCAAATTCCGTCATCTATGCTGCAGATCCAGATCTTTTATTTGAAATTATAAATAACTCCAATAATAACTTTAATGATAATAATCAATTTTAACATCTGTTAAACAGTTTGACAGATCCTGATGCATGAGTCAGTCATGTGGCCTTTTGTTGCCTACGTGTCAAACCAGAAGTCATCCCTCCATGGCCCTCTGTCCCCGCAGCTGTGTGAGGAAGGCCAACACATGCAAATGCACGCAGCAGGCAAATGCACACACACACACACACACACATACCCTGTCCACCTGCGCTCAGCTCACAGTGTGGCGTTCCAAAAATAAAGATGAGTATCAGAAGCCACAACTTCTGGATGAGGCTTTTTAAAAACGCAGATGAGCCGCAGAGGACTTTACATCTGGTCCCAAATCAGTCGAGAGCGAGAGCCAGAGATTTGATATGTTCAGAAGAGCTTCCAACAGCTGATCAGTCCAAACTGTAAAACACACACACACACACACGGACACAGCAGAGCCAGAGGTTCCGGTAGAGGAATGAGCGGTGACAGACATTTTGATTGTTCTGTAAACAGAAGGATTTGATTTTTTCCAACTCAAACAAAACAATCATCTCATTGTGAACGTCTCCTGCTGAGCCAGACACCCACATGTCCGAAAATCATGCTCATCAAAACAGTCAAAAACTGTCCACAGTGCATTCATGCTGGTGTGTGCACATCAGGAAAAGTACTCAGGCCTTTTCTACACTGAAAGTACAAAATATTAGGGACAGTTCCTGATGCAAACTGATGGAATCAAGCCACATAAAATCATGATCCTCTTATTTCCTTTAGAAAAAAGAGTGCTGGGTGCAAAAGCAACAGCAGCAATTCAGTGCCATCCCGACCATCAACATCTGTTACAGCCTCACAGTGAATTCAATCCCTCTGACTTTAATTAATGTAGAAAACAACTCAACATTAGATACAGTTGTGAAGTGTTTAGTTCTTTTGTTCACACACTAATATCAGGGTTTTAAGATCTGAGAAAACCCTCAAAGAAGCTGCAGCTCAACATTTTTGACGACCTCATCTATCATGCATATTATGCATATTCATATGAGTGAATATTTAAAGTACACATAACCTAAGACACACTCTCTCTCTCTCTCTCACACACACACACTATTGTCTTTGAAGTCTTCCTGACTGCTAAACTTGTCTCTCCACTAAAACTAAACGAGCTCAGCACCAGGCCTTGATTTTCATTCCCCCTGTAGAGCTGATGACAACAAGCACAGCAGACTGGTGGGTAATAACCACCGCGCTGCATTCAAGGACACTCGGCTCCATGTGCAGGAGCCTTGACTTGCAATCCCCCAGCGCCGGCTGGAGCCCTCAACGTCTGCTGCAGAGGCCGCTGGAGGTTTTATAATAATGCAGAGTGGAACACCTGCAGTGTGCACATGGCCTGCGGCAGCTCGTGTGTGTGTCTGTCTGTGTGTGTGTGTGTGTGTGTGTGTGTGTGTGTGTGTGTAATGTGCCTGTAATCATGTATATGTCTGTTCACAGATGTGTGTTAACGTGTGTGTTTGCAATGTGTTTACCTTGACCTGATTAAAAGTGTGTATTCACTCCAGCACAGACTCATCTCTGCACCTCATCATGTTTCACTGTTTCTTTCCATTTAAACACTTATCTTGTACTTGGTCATTTTATTTGGAAGGACTTCCTGCTTTCCTAAGTCTGGTAAAACTCAAACCAGGAGGCGTACCAGATAAAAATCACCAAAACTACAACTGTGAGCGTGTTCCTGTTTACTAACCTACAGATGTGTTCACGTACAAGCACATATACACACAAGCTAATTAAAGCCCAGCACAAACACGTGCACAAATACACACCAGTGCACATGTATATGCGCTGACAGGCCCATGTGCCTGACCCCAAGCCTGGTACACACACCTTCCTAATACCTCACAACTGTTTCCAATCTAAAGGTTCCTGCTTGTCTGGGCCCCGGCGGGGCCTGATTGCACGATACAAGATCCTGAAGAGAAGAGGGCAAGGCTGCGGAGAGAGAGAAAGAGAGAGAGAGAGAGAGAGAGGCTGATGTGCCTACACTTTTTTTTTCACTCTCCCTTTCTTTTCCTCCTTTCATCCTGTACCTGTGCAGGAATCTGGTGTCTGTTAAAATGGCTGAAAAAAACCAGAGCCTGTGTGAAGTCGATCCGACAGATTCTGGAGAAATACATTTGTCATAAAAGCATCAGAGGTCTGACAAAGTGGAGCAGCAGCAGAGTTTGGATTCACCAAGCTAGTGTTCATTTTGGTTAAGTTTAGTTTAAGAAGCAGGGTGCTCCAAGAAGCTCTTTTTAAATCTCTGCTCTGTTTTATGGTTACAAGTCCAGTTCTTCATGTTTTTTATTGTGGCCAAAGCTTCTGAGTTTTCAGTCTGAGGAAATTTTTAATGTTTTGGAAACAAGCATTTAATCGTGGTGTATTTATGAGGACGTTTCAAAAAATGTTTCATTCTTCTTATTTATCTGATTTTTGAATTCATTTATTCCATTATATCTAATTTTCCAGCTTTGTATTCGTTTTTATAATTTCATGTGTTTGTATTTTGTTTTTTTTTCATACTTTATTTATTATAGTTAAAGTTAGTTCTGAAGTTAGAAGTTATTTTGGATCTGGTTTTTACTGGTTTTAATGTCTAAATGTTTTTATTCAATAAGAAGAAAGAGATTCTCCCGAGATTGTCGTCTTTTTTTTGCACGAGTCCAACGTAAAGCAGCAGAGTCATTTGCAAAAGCTGACACAGACCCAACATTTGCTTTGTTTAAATACTTCATGTTGTTTGAGCAACATAACGTTTATGACATTTAAGGACAAACAACTAAACATGAGCTAACAATTAACAGCATATTATGATTTACCAAATCTGTATGAAACTAAAATTAATTGAGAAGTTCTAATCAGTGAGTAATTGAAAAGGAATTTCTGAGGCTGTGTTAATAAGAGCTGAACCCATTCACCTTTATATTTAATTAATTAAAACACTTTTTCAAATCTGATCATTTTATCGTTTTATGAAATTTTACCAAATACACTGGATAACATTTTTTCACATTTGCATAAAAACTTTTATTTCAAAAACCAAACCAACCAATACCCCAGTTACAGCATTGTAGAGTAACGTTTTGTTGATAGTATCTTTAAATAGCTCAATGCAAAATTTCCAAGGGGGTTTTATAATTTGTTCATCAACATGTTTCATTTCGTTTTACTTACAGTTATTGTTTTTCTGCTAAACTTTCACTGAACCAACTCTGCATTTCTCATAGTAAATAAAAAAATCATAATGTAGAACATGTATGGATGTAACTGTTTTTTAAATCTATTGTTGTTTTCTTTCTTTTTTTGCAAGATTTTAATTTCGTCTTTTTTAGATCCTGTTTAGGCTCATGTAAAATAATCTACTAGAGAACTCTTTCTATTTCTTTGCTTAGGACCTGCTCAGATAAAACCTGTAAATTCACGTCTATGTGCAGAAGACATGGGGAACACAGATGTTTTCACACGTGTTTGTATGTATGATTCTATCATGTGTCCGTACATTATTGTGTATTGTGTATGTGTAGGTGTCTCTGTGTTCGTATGTTGTTTTCATACCTGAGGGGCAGCAGTGGAGCCTCTTGTTGCACTGGACCAAACTGTGGCAATGAGAGGGGAGAAGAGTGGAAGTGGAAACAATGCAGAGGAACAGGGTGAACTACGACAGGTTTTAGTTGCACATATCCAGCTGTGGATGTTAGAGAATGTGCTGGTGATTGTTAATGGAGTGAAGCATCATGGAGCACAGAGACTGAGCAGGATGAGAAATGAATGCAAAGGTTGGAGATGAAAAGGTTAAGATCGGACCAGAGGGCTTGAATTCAGAGGTTCAGGGGTCAGGAAATGGGCGCAAACAGAGACAGAGGCGGTGGGGTGGAGATGTGGACACGAGAGGATGTAGGAGAAAAGTTCGAGGGGGTCCTAGTGGCTGGTGGACATAGCCCAGGCCCCTTCCATCCTCCAGACGGAGAAGGCATAGCTGAGTCTCTCGTGGGCCAGGTAGTTGCAGCTGGCCAGCTTGGCGTCCATCTCGTCGCTCTGCAGCACCTGGTAGAGGAAGTCGATGTAGCGCGAGGCCAGCTTCAGGATCTGGATCTTGCTCAGCTTGTCGGAGGGTAACGTGGGGATGATCTTGCGTAGAGATGCGAAGGCATCGTTCAGTGACTGAGTGCGTTGACGCTCCCGCACGTTGGCTATAACGCGCTGAGAGTGGAGGTCCTCAAAGGGCTGGTCCGGCCTTGGGCCCAGCGGCGTGGGCGCCAGCGACACGACAGTCGTGGGGCTTTTCTTCACCCTCTTTGGGTTGGTGGGGAGCAGGCTGTTGGGGCTGCCGGTGCTGCTCTCCTCGGCCTGACTGAGACTGTCCTTCTTGGGATACGGGGAGCGTTTGCGGTTCCCTGATTGGTGGCTCTTCTTCGACCCCCTCTCCAGTTCCTCTTCACTAGCCCCCAGCCCTCCTTCAGGGGAGTTGGTGCAGGAAACCTCTTCTCTCATTGTATCGTCCACGAAAGACTTTCCACACTCCACTACAGAGACAGGACGCAGTACGGCTCTTTTTCACTTCCAACCCCTGGTGATAGCCTGACAAGCTTTTGCCACAAAACTCCGTCAAACAAAGTTACGGCTGCTGACGCTCCATCTGATTGGACGTCGCTCTGGCTGCTCCGTTTCCCGCTTAGCTTGTTAAATTTCTCACTTTCACATTCCCCCTCGACCTGGCAGACGGAACAACAACAAACCATCTGACAGGCAGGTCCACCTCTACCTCTTTTATACCCAAACGCTAACCTACTGCCTGCGGGCACTTCTCATTGGCTCAACGGACTTCCAGAGGGCGAGGTCTGTCCTGAGACAGGCAGGGAAGCAGGAAGAGAGCGTTTGCTGGGCGGGCGCTAAAGTAAAGGGGTAAGTGGAGCTCTCAGCCAATGAGAAGTGCTGTGTCTAATGTTGCAGAGATGTCTGAGGCTTTATGGTTTCCAGATTTTGCTGGAGCGTCAGTCCGCATGCAGCCATGTGTCTGCATTCTTGTTCATCAATTCATTGTCAGGACCGAAATCAGTCTAAACTTTTTATTTCCAACAGTCAACAGTGTTTGCTTTCATGTATACTTTTACCAAATACATATATATATATATATGATTATATTTATATGGTAGCTTCACGATAACAAATGAGCAACATAAAAGTCATAAATCATTTATGCTGATGGAGTGAGAAATGTTTTTTGAGTTCACATTTGATCTGCACCATGCGTATAACCAGTCTCTAAAAAACAAATCTGTTCAACCAAGGGTCACAACATCAACCGAGTCAGTGATAATACTGTGGATTAAAAGACTGAGGGAGATTTATGGGTTAAATAATGTACTTTATGATGTGGAACTTATGTTTATAAATGGCACAAAGCATAAATTTTTGCCGTGACGGATGGTAAAGCTCTGCAAATGAAAAAAAAGACTGTTCATAAATCTGCTTGGCTGCAGCAGATTTAGGTACAGAGAAAATATGAGGTTGTGAGAGCGTGAATCCTGGAAAGTTCTCACAAGCTTTTTCTGACACATCACCGAAAGAGCTGATTTACTAAAAGCTCTTAACACCTGACTGGTGCTTGTTTGAGAGAAGTTTTTGAATGAATGAACACGTCTAACATCACAGCTGACGTGAGCCGTCCTCCTCCCTGCTGGATCAGGAAAGCAGCACAGACAGGACCCTAAATAACCCCTGACCCCTGTGGCCCAGTGACCTCAGCCTGCAGAGGTGAGAGAGCACCTAATTGTACCATCCATGGCCTCGAGGCAGAGCCGGCACATGTTCCACCTCCACGCCGCCAACCCATCTGGATCTGCAGGCGCTTAAACACATTATCGCAGTCGTGACACAGCAGACAGGTTCTTTTCAAGAAACTGACAACGTGCGGCTCAGGGTCCACGTTTTCTCAATCTGCGTTCAGGCGCCAAGGTCGAATGAGCTACAAATTGAACCGATGACTAAGTCTTGCGTAATCGTACCTTTGAATCTCAATCCGTTTCCCAACATTTATACCTTCATGCGTCACAGTGACTCATGTGCGGATCACTGCAGAGAAATCTTGTGGGGAGTTTTCCGCTGCTCCACACTGCAGAAATCTTGTGCTTTTTGATGACAGCATGCTTAATAGTACCCGTTACATGTCAACACCTAGAATACATGTTTTCTACAAGAGTCATTACATCTTTCCTGTTTCCAAAACTGAAACTGTGCTGGCATATGCAGACGCAGAGAATTTTTTTTCTGGAAATTGGTTTTATTTACCAACAAACATTTCACGGGTTGTAGCTAAATTTCCTATCAGTCTCCATAAGCTGCTTGACAGCTTTGAGCCGACAATTTGGGTGTGATTGCGGCGGCATTTGAAGGGCCGCATGTGCAGGGAGCGGCTCAGAAGATTTTTGATGAGCCCCATGATTGCACTGGTTTACATTTCATTCTGAGAGCGACGTTGAACGGAAAGTAGCTTGATCCCAGTTGGGTTCAATCAACTTGAAAAGAAAGAAAAAAGAAAACTCATCTGGCCATCAAAGCAAGGCCGTGGACAGAGACAGTGAATTATACGAGGTTGTATTTACATAACAGGCAGAGTCAGCTCCAGGATTAACCGGTATTAGAAGCTTGGGCTTATTTGGAGCTCCGGTGGAGACAGCGGAGGGACAGGAAAGTCATTGTTGCGGCGGCTAATCTCAGGAGCAGCCGCTTACCTTTTAGAGAAAGCGTGGCAGCGTGCCACCACCGCCATGGAAAAAATTAGCTAACGAAGCGAGTAGTCCAACAGGAATGTCGTGGCACACTAGAAGAACAGAAGGGGAGAAGAAAGCGAGAGAGAGAGAGAATAGGGAGAAGAATAGGAAAAGGGGAAAAGAAAAGGAGAAGAAAGGAGCGGGAGAAAGGGGGAAAAAAGTGAGGCTGTCCAAACAGAACCAGATGCAGGAGTGTGGAGGCTCGTTTGATCTCTGTCCTCATAGGCTGATTGATGTTGCACATTTCATTTCCTTGTCAGAGTCTTGACATAATGTTTCACTAAACACTCAGGTCCTGCTCTCCTCTTCGTTTTCCTTCCAACGGGGTCATAATTAACCCTCTGCAGAGCTGAAAATAGATCATACGTATCATACACATATCAATATATATCAATATATATTGGCTTACACATACACACGGGGGAGTTCAATATCAAAGAAGACCAATGTATTGTCTATTTCTGTCTCCGCACCATATGGTTTGGTCCTGACTGAAATACGGCACTGAAGAGCGGCCGTGTTGAAACTTTGAAGTTCGGAGGAGGGAAAAAAAAACAGTTCATAATGCAGTCAGTTCAATTACCGTCATACGCCAAGAGGTCGAAGCTCTGCAGTGACGTACTGGACTGGTAGGAGCGCACCGGTGTGACCAATCATAAGTGATGTGTTTGGAAATCCACGCTGGCTCGCCAAAAGGAACCAATCATTAGATTCCTGCTCACCTTCACCCTGGGAGTTTCTTCACCCTCCCGGCCGCTGTTATTGATGTTTGCACACACACACTCCGCCCTAGCCCCCCACCCCACCCCCACTCCACTCCTCATACCCATCCTTCCACCGCTCCATCCCTCCCGAGGAGCCTATAGTGGCACAAAGAGGCAGACATCTGGGACCCATTTCCCCCCTGGAGAAGTCCTTCCTGTGGGGTATCCACTTAGAGGGGTTCGAAGGAGTGTGTGTGCGTGGGGGGGGGGGGGGGGGGGGGGGGGGGGGGGGGGGGGGGGGGGGGGGCTTCTTGCAAACTAACAAGAAGGGTAACCTTGTGTTTTTTTGTCCTGAGCAAAAAGTCACATCATGAACACGGAATCAAATTTTGTCGATGATCAAACGCTGGTATCTAAGAGTTAGATAAGGTGATTATAATACTGCCTCAGTGGTGGGATGTAATAAAGTACATTTACTTTTAAATGTACTTGTATCTGTACTTTACTTGCATAGATTTTATTTCAGGTACTTTTCACTGTTACTCCAGAACTTATATCAGCAAACATCTACTTTCTCCTCCTTGTTTTACCATACACACATTGTTTTCTACATTTTCAAAATTAATCAATAGCAAGAGGGGAATTGGTCCAATGATCCAATTAGAGCAGGCAGGTGATAATAAACCCCGCCTCCTTCAACAGTAGCAGTACCTGTATCTAAAGGAGTAGTACACCATTGCAATATGCTGTGATTGGCAAGTACTTTTACCTTTAGTGATTTACATATATTTAAAAGCTGGTACTTAGGTTTATTCAAGGAGAAAAATGTATGTGGTACTTTTGTTTCACTCAAGTACGTCTTTATCTATTTATTTGTATTTTGACTTAAAGCTTGGGTTGGTAATCCTGGAGAAGCTCACAAGAGCAGGCTACATATTGAAAATATTCAACCAAAACAACCCACGCTCTTTGCATGCTATTTGGTCTGTCGTTTTCATCTACTGCGCATGTGCTTGTTGAGGACGGAGGTCCGCCATCTTGTCCGCAGCCAGGTGCCTTTCCCTGCGAGCGCCACAGACGCCTGCTTGTTTTATTATTTTATCCCCAGATGTCAGGACATAAAGAGGATATCAGCAAATAAGATTAAAAAAATTATCTTAGTAGCTGGTTGACTTAGTTTAGCACAAAGACTGAAAGCAGCCCAGCTCTATCTGAAGGCAACAAACCAACCTATCAACTCCTTTTAAGATGAACAATTAAAACATGTTTATTTATTACGTACTAAACCCAAAGAGTAAAAAAACAACAACTCACCATTTGACTCTTTTACACTGCAAACCTTTGCTTTAGCAACCAGCTAAACTAACTAACTCTCTGACAAGAAAGCAAGGAGTCACATTTTTCACAATTTCAACCTGTGAATTGAGAAATCTGAAACATTACAAAGATGATTTTGAAGACCCGACCAACAAAGGAAGCACACTACAGAAATTATTCGAACTTAAATTAATCAACATATGATCATAAGCTCTAAAAACTGTTTTTCTCTGTGCTCCTGACAAGTGACAAACTATCTGTGCTTCAATCACAGTATTTCAGTCAAACTGTAACTGTTGTGGGTTTTGTTATATATATGATTCATATTGTCAACTCTGTTAGCCACACATTGCTGGTGAAGCAGATTGGCAAAAGTTTTCCTATAACCTTCACTTTCATCATTGCTTATTTAGTCATAATTAAATAAAAACATAGAGAAACACACAAGATTTGAGATAACATTTTCAGAGACTTTAAACTAGAATAAAATTAATTTGATCACATTTCCACAACAATCGGTAAGCTCCATTTGATAAGGTGAAACGATGCTGACGAAGATCATGTGATATGGTTAAAAGCTCCAAAACGGCTAATCGAACCATGAGGTGGGACTGTTTAGTCCGATGTTTATAGATGCAGTCAGCGTGTGTTTTTCACATACAAAACCACAATCCTGCATTTAAAAACATTTCCCTCCCCCACTGCGTGCGAGCCTGTATTATTCTTATTTAGCTCTGACTTATCTTTTCCTACTTGACCGTAATTTATCATAATATTTAGTGCTCAAGCTTCCTTCAAATGTCCCTGCTTTCATGTGTAATTTAGCCAATATCCTGCTCTGGCTCTGATTACAGTGTTTAAGTGCTGGGGTCCGTCCACGGCACATTACGAACTCTCCCAGTGGAGCGCACAGCTGAGCTGAGGGATACAGCT